GGTTTATTGTCAATCTTCTGAGATATTTGATTTTTGTTAAACCCGATAGGTGAGTTGTTGGATTTTTTCTGTCAGAATTGAATAATTTGGTAGATTTCCTTACCTGAGAGGCCCGACCTACAATAATTTCAGCCTTCCTACAAGATAACAAGAGCAATGTTTACTGTGAACAATTTGCTTACCTACAAACCTACAAAATAGTCAGATCTCATAAAAGGTTTACATTTTCTACGCCTGTATATAGCTTAACATTGCAATGTTCATTTTTGAAGTGATATCGCCAGTATGACTGGCTTCCCTTTCTTCTCACTCTAACACACATGACTCAGTGTTCAGTGTGCGTTCGACATATACTGTTGACAGTGAGCATATAACGTAAAACTATCACAGCTTTTGAAAGTGATTACAAAAATTTGATGAAACAAGCAGAAGATGATCCTCGAAACATTACAGAACGGGACTTTCAGTCAGACACGTTCAAAAAACAAATTTACTCTATTTTACAAATCTTTAAGCTTTCGTCTCTGCATAGAGACTTCGTCAGGACGAAGTGATTTGAGTATCTGAAAATTATAACATCATTAACAACAATGCGCCAATTTTGTAAAAAAATTTCGTCGATATTCAATTGTCAATTGTGTTACTCAGATTACTTCGTCCTGACAAAGTCTCTATTCAGAGACGAAAGCTTGACTTTTTGTGAAATAGAGTAGGTATAGTCGAAGTGAACGATATTGTGCACTCTTAAAGTTAGCGGTACTCTCAAAGGCCAAAAAAACCAATACATAGAAATGAAGCGGCAGCGAACTAGTCCAAGTGGACTGTAGACTTGGCGGTTCGTATTCGATAATTTTTACTAACCGAGTTTTATGATTGGCTGAAGAGTCATAAAATCAAATTTGAAGTCATGTTACGGTGACGAATAGAAATCGGGAAATGCGGGGTTGGTTATCGTCGTCGTGTTCAGTTCAGGAACTGATCGCGATTTGAGTGTTGAAATTCGATATTTGTGCAGTTATAATTACTTGAAATTTTTGTTATCTGTTTAAAATGTGGCGTCTTTGGACAAGTAGCTCCTGATAGTGATAACGGGTGTGATAACAACGCAGACTTTTTCCAGTATAGCGATTCCAATAGCGATGGTGAACAATGCGAAAAAGAGATACTCACTCAAAAAATCAAAACTCTGCTCTCCTTTTCCAAGCTTTCGCTTCTAATGGAAAGCTTCTTCAGGGCCTATAATTTATTGAGTTGAGGATTTTTTGCCATTGAATAAAATTACAAATCATACTTACAGTAAAAAATGATTGAAAAACTGAACATATAAATTGACGAAAGAAAGTTAAACATGTATAGGATTTTTTGGTTTGATAAATGTCAAACCTTCACATAAATGGTCATTTTTCAATGGGCATGATGATTTGATAATCTTTGACTCTAAAGAGAGAATTGATTGATACAATTTTCATTATTATTATTATGTTTTCTGGTGTAGTTCTAGGTAGTGGCTGTATATACTGCTAAGATTATCGATGTTAGTTTTCTTATTCATACAATCAGAAGATTTATTAATTAGAGTAAATTGGTTTATGTCTCCATATTTCTCCATTCTATAAAAAAAATGTATATAGTGTTTTCCAAAAAATCCCTGCAGCAAGGCACGTCCCAAGGTTATTACTTCATCCTCTCCTAAGAAGACCCTGCATCCTAACAAATACTTTCTCCTGTGATGTACCTACGCTCGAAAAAACATTCAAAAGTCAACGGCACCGAATGCATTTCTTCTATTTCCACGCCGATTATGTTCCTCCATTGTGAGCAATGAATAATGATAACGTTGCTTTTTCGAGAGGGAAAACAAAATGGACTCGGTGAAAGCAATAGTGTGTTGAATAAATAAAAACATAAAAGTAACCCGCTGACCTACTTCAGAGAAGCATACTACCGTTCTTCAATGGTCGAACGGATAGGTAGCCACACTGCTAGTGCTAATGAAACCCGTGAATGTATGAAGCAGGGGCGGATTTGCAGAAAAGAAGGCCCAGGCGACTAGAAATACGCTTTTGAAATTTTTGTGTGTAATTTGCGGAAAATCTGATTCTTTTGCAATGGTGTTTTACGCTATGAGCCCGGCAGGGGACTAATTACAGTACTAGTTATTTAATAAACGGAATATAAACGAGTACTGTGAAAATTCGTGGCTTTTGCATTAAGATAATGCACATGCTCACTTGTCATTGCTTGTTCGTAATTTTTTTGCCAGAAACAACACCGTAATCATGCTTCAGCCACCGTATTCTCCAGATTTGCCCCTGCGACTTCTTCCTGTTGTTGCGAAACTTTGGTACTTCAGGTTCCATTCAAACACGGCCTAACAGCTCGAATTGTGTGAAAGCCTATGTTCTTAGAATGCGTTTATTGTTTTCAGTTGACGTATTTATTGTCATAATAATAATAATAATAATAAATATGCTTTATTGACCAAAGAAAACTCTTATTGACAAAGCTTTGGTGAACATTTTCAGAATATAAGCTAGTAGATTGACAAAAATATCTAGAGTCTAGACAATATATTAAATATATCAGTACAAATACAGGCAAATTTACCTAAAGTAGGTACCTGAAATACCTGAGTTGAGACGTTCGGACCATATGAAGAGGCAGACGACAGGATGACAAGTTCAGTAGAAGATGACAGTACGACCAGCTGTCAAAAGCGCTCGCAGATAATTAATAGAAGATATAAAGCTTCAAATCCTTTTTGTGAAATTTAATATTAAAATACATATATACACATACACACATATGCACACATATATACATACAAACACTAAAATAGTTTATAAAAACAAATATGTATAAAATATGATTAAAAGGTATCGTCATAAAATTCTTACAAACTATAACAGGCCCTATTATAGTTGGAAAATCCTTTGTAGATTTTCGAAATTCAGTACAGTTTACTACGCATTTCAGGTAGTTAGGAAGATGATTATACATCTTGAGACCATTATACAATATAGAATTTTTAATTAAAGTAGTGTTAGGTATGGAAAGACGTTAAATTTGGGGTCTGGCGTGTGGTGTAATTGGAGACAATAGAGAGAAGTTCTGTTCTATGTTAATGCACTAAACAAACTGTTTCTAAAATGAATAGAGCATACAGTGATAAAATGTTGTTTGCTACAAAGGCCTACAAGAATCTCGCCGCCTGGCTCTACAGAGAAATCTTAATGACTTTTTCTGTAGAATAAAAATCGACTCGAGTCGAGTTTGATTACTTACCCCCAGAAAGGGATCCCATGTCTTAGATGTGATTCTACTAATGAATAATAGACAGTTTTGGCTGCAGTTAATCCTACTTCGTTACAAGTTATTTTCAAGGCATAACATCCAGATGAAAGTTTTTTGTTAAGAGATAGTATGTGGTCGTCAAATTTCAACTTATCAATTAATAACCCAGGAAATTTGTTGCATGACGTGTTCTCAATCACATTCGAATTCGAAGCTAGAGAAATATTATCAAGAATGCAATTAAAGGATAAAACTTTGGTTTTTGAGACATTGAAAGCTAATAAATTTGCCTTACACCAATCTGAAGGTTTGGAAATATCAGAGCAAATGGCATTATATAAATCATTTGTGTTGGTATTGCGCTATAATATTGTAGTGTCGTCGGCGAATAAAGTAAATTTACCCTCTATATCAATGGTAGTCAAGTCATTGATAGATAGAGTAGAAAAAGGGTAGGTCCGAGTACTGAGCTTTGTGGTACTCCGTTAGATATGCTATAAACATCAGATAGTGTTGTATATTTAATCTTTTGACTTCTACCCGATAGATAAAATGCAAACCATTTATGAGAAATACCCTCAATACCATAGAGATAAAGTTTCCTGAGCAGAATCTCGTGAATCATAAGATGAACACTATCAACTTTACGAGTACTGAATATAGATGTTATATAATACAAACATCAAATCATTTTATTGAACAACAATTTTGTAAATATAATCAATTACAAACCATTTTCCTAAAACGGGGTGGTCCATCCCACATCAAAATGTCATAGTTTTTGCATTACTGTCTTGTAAGATATACTTCTATCGAGGAATTATGCATGTAATGTCGATATTTTAATCAAAATACCAACACCAAGTAATTTGACAGATTTTGAAAACAAACAAATTCATTTCTGTTTTCAGTTGTTGTTTTTTTCTTTCTCTGAATATACAGTGTGTCCAAGATAAGGATCCTAAGCATGGGAATCTTATTGCTTGTTGGAGATACAGCTTAGGTTAAATTAGGAAAAAGTTGTGTTCTTTAAAGCTTATTTACATGCCGTTTAGAAACTTGAAGAATTTTCATGGCCTGCTGAGATATTTGGGAAAAACGAGAATTTGACAATATCAATTTTATTTTTTTCTGACTTTATTTGAAAAGATATCAAAAAACGAATAACACTTTTTCATTGGCACTTTCAAGGTACTACACGATGGTATTTTTAGTTTTTATATCCGACGTTTCGTTTTCAAAA